AGCTGGGTTTGAGGTGGGGAGGGTGAGGGGGGAGTGTTGTTTGTCAAACCTGCAGTAGAACACATTCAGGTCGTCTGCTAGTTGATGGTCCCCCACAGCCAGTGATGCTTTTCAAGCTTCTCCACACAGATGAGGAGTTGTTGGCTGAAACCTGGGCTTTCAGCTTTTCAGAGTAGCTCCTCTTTGCTTCTCTGATCTCCCTTGTCAGTGTGTTCCTGGCCTATTCATGCTCACTGAATAGGACAACTGTTGACTGTACTTGGGGCCCCAGTGCATCAGGGCCTTTGTGATCAAGCTCAATCTAAAAATGCTCTACTGCCTCTCCACTTGCATTGGCTTGACCTCTGTTTGTTCCCCAGACTTGATTATAGCTCCTCACTGCACAAATCCAACCACTGCACTTCTTCATTTCATTATCCATCAAACTGAGCTAAAGCCTCTCTCTATCTCATCCACCACATCTCTTTGGCTCTCTGTTCTCAGTAAGAGACGTCAGATTTACTCTATTTAAAAAGATCTTTCTCGTGAGTAAATGACTAATTTTGTTTGTCAGTGGATTAGTGCAGTTCTCTGTATGGAGCTCAACCTTTCTGGAAAGGAAAGCCATATTTGCTGCAGGAACACCCACACAAGGTTTAAATACAGTGCCTATAAAAAGTATTCACCCCCTTGAATGTTTTACCCCTTTATTGATTTTATAAATCAATCATGGTCAATATAATTTGGCTTTTTTGACAAAAAAAATTACAAAAAAACTCTTGAATGTCAAAGTGAACAGGTAATATCAGAGTAATATCAGAGATAATCAGATGCCCGTATTACGCAGCGGTTGTCTCACAGTAGTAATAGCAATATTACCAACGGAGAACATGGGTACCATGGAGAGCGTACAGATAGAGTGCGTGTGTGCAGGAGGGGCACACACACACACAGCGGGTAAAACAGCGGCTTGCATTGATAGTACAGTCAAGTGAGTGTACATGGCTAACAAGCAATCACTCGAGCGAGAAAACGCGTGGAATCAGCGCTCAGTGGTGGTTGTACGAAGAGGGAAGTCACTCGGTCACGTAGAACACTCAGGACTGAGTGAGCCAGTGGAAAACTCGGATGCGTCCCGAAGGTAGAATATGTAGGGCCAAAAGACACGGCCCATGAGGCTGCCGTGCGAATGTCCTCCACGATCATGCCTTTAAAGAGGGCAGTGGAGGGTGCAATAGTGGGCTCTGATGCCAGGTGGGGGATCACACCCAGCTAACATGTAAGCCTGTGTGATAGCCTCACACAGCCAGTAAGACAGCTGTGGTTTGGATAAAGGCTGTCCAAGAGAATGTTTCCTACAATGAACAAAACAGTTGTTGTGTCTGTCTGACAGCTGCCATGCGTGCCACGTAATGGGACAGCGCGTGCACCGGACAGAGAGCAGGAAGTTCTTTGACTCATCTCTGTGGGGTGGAAAGAACCCATTCAGGTAATGACTCTGGATCGAACAAAGGATGTTATTATTTTCGATGCAAAGGCAGGATTCTGTCTTAGAACGGCTTTGTGTACGAGAAGGCACGCCGGTGAGACAGACAGTGCACACAGATGGCCCACTCGCTTAGCCAAAGTTAGGGCTAAGAGAAGTGCTGTTTCCAGAGAGATGTTTGAGAGAGGTTTCTGTTATGGGCTCAAAGGGGGGTTCCCTGAGCGCGTGTAAACCACAGATAAATCCCACTGAAAGCATCACAGGCTTGTCTGCCTATACCCCTGAGAAAGCGTTTCACCAACGGGTGTGCAAAGAACACAATTCGCTCACCAAAAACTTCATGACATGAAGAGATGGCAGCGGCATATGCTTACAGAGCCAGGTTAATTTCTACCAGGATCTGTAGAAAAATTCAGCACTTAAGACAGTGGGCAGGAAGTGGGAGCTGTGCCCCCCTCCATGCGCCAACATTGAAAAACTGACCAGTTGCAGCTTAAGGCCCCGTAATAGACGGAGCTCTCGTGCACTGAATTGCGTGTATGACCACCAGAGGCACCCTTAGGTTCTCCAGTCACTCCCGTTCAGGGGCCAGGCCCACAGCCGTTGACCTGACACGGGGCACTGCTGGATCGCGCCGAGCAGATGAGAGAGTGTTTGCGTGCTCCGGAGCTATCAGGAGGATGCGCAGCCATTCCTCTTGAACGTTTAGTGAAAAACAGAGGTGGCACCGCGCATTCCCTCGTGCTGCGAACAGGCCTGCCACCCCTGGGCTGAACCTGTCCCACAGTGTCTGACAGAGGGATGGGTTCAGCCTCCACTTGCTGGTCTGATGTCTGCCTTGTGACATGAGATCCGCAGCATGGTTCTGCTCACTGG